GTGGAATATGAAACGAGGCGGGGTAAGGTTGTATTATATTCAGCCAGTTCTGATTGGTTAGATATGGAAACAGAAATGGCGATATCATCAGCATACTTAAAATACCGAACAGGGGGAGTAATAGGTAAGTCACTAATATAAGTCGAAAAAAGGTAAGGTGATAGGACAGCACCTTGAAGTACATCCGAGCTATTTAGTGACGCGTTTGACTGTTTTCGTCCCAACTTAACATACTGATATCTTTGTGAAAAGTAATCTGCAAGCCATTCAAGAAGAGAAGCCGGACGGCCCAAAGATTGAAGCTCGTTAAGTAAAAGACAGCGGGGCACCGAGTCGAAAGCGGAGGAGTAGTCAAGAAATGCACAATGCACATATTTAGCTTTCTAGCTAAGGGACTTACAGATGAAATGAACTAGAGAAGAAACGGCATCTAATGTAGAGCGGTTATGTTTGTATGCAAACTGATAAGTGTCATCGGGGGTGGTAAGAGATAACTAAAGACGATGCAGAACTGATTGCTCCATCAATTTCAAACCAGTGGAGGTGAGAGCAATCGGTCTAAAACGCTTGGCTAATGGGACCTTTGTCGTTCCTTTTGGGATGGGAGTAATTCTCACTGGGCGCCAGCAATCTGGAACAGTTCGGAGTTCGAGTGAAAGATTAGCTATGCGTGCGAAATTCTGAGACAGTGGAGAGCACCGTGTTTAATAAGGATGGGACTTAAGTTGTCTGGACCAGGTGTGGTGGATACCTTGAGAGAACACGTGTTTATACATCTCACCAGAGGTGATGGGATCAAACGAAAGTTGAATGTCTGGAGAACAGGAATCAGCATAACTGGAGTATTTGTCGGACGAGGAATGAATAAATGCATTAATCAGTTTTCAATATCGATAGAGGGAATGGAAATCACTTTCTTCTGCCTGCAGAGTAGACTGATTCAAGGACACATAGATTTACAGTTCCTCGTCCCAAAAAACTGACTTGCATAAAGGGCGTCTAACCGTCTTATTTCACTCTTGATCAGGGACCATAATCGTTGCATTTCGGCCCTCCTGCCACATTTAAATGCGCGTTCCTTTTCACGGTGAAGACGTTTAAGAAAAGGGGTTGATATTCTGCCATGTTGAAGGAACAAAGTTATCACAGGACAGCATATGTCAAAAACACAGTTCAACACCTCTGTCAGAAATGTCATACTTGACAAACAGGTTGTGTTTAGAGGAAAACAGTCGGTAACTACCTTAAGAGACGATCTAAGCCTAGGCAATATTGTCTGGGGAAATATCACGCTGACAAAACATGATGTGTTTTGGCCGAGTAAAAGAAAAATGACCTGAGTGTGAGTAAATCTTAGGTCTGACCACGATCAGGTTGTGGTCACCGGTGCCTAAGTGGGAGAACTGTTTGGTGGAAAAGGTGTCAGCGTGGTTTCTGATTATGTGGTCTAGATGAGAGCTTCCTCTAGTCGGTTCAATAATCAGGTCGCTGAGGTTTAGACACAATAAAGGGTGCGGAGGTGCGTGGTTAAAGTCATCAGCTATTAGATGCAAGCTGTCAGCAAGAGATGGGGCAATAATCGGGGGGAAATTATCATAAAATGTGTCAATTTCTGACAATCTACACTGAGGTGCAATGTGTAAGTTAGTGATGGCAATAAAAGGAAAGCGGGAGAATTTAAAGTGACAGACGACAGTCAAGCAATCAACGCCATTCTGGGAATACTTAAAAAGTACTTCGGACTTGCCGCACCAAATGGAATTGATGTAAGTGATCACACCGCCTCCCAGCTTCTTCCTACACCGTTGTCTGTCTTGTCTGAAGCAGAAGAAATTATCCAGTTGCACCACGGAATCATCCACATCCTCATTGAGCCATGATTCCTGAAGACGCAAGACAAAAGAGGTGCGAAATTCCTTTCGCTGGAGTAGGTAGGATAAGTCCAGAAGCCTCCCAAACACAGAACGGACATTGTTACTCACAATGGTAGGCACGGTCATCTTGTTGGGAATAGTACGACCAAGGGCAGTTTGCCAACCGGCACGAATGCGTTTTCCTCGTTTGCAGTATTTGTGCGCTTGACTAGCAACTGGCACTCCAAACTTGGCAATATGGTTTTTCGCAATAACACCCTTAATTTTTAACAAGAATTCCTTTGTGTAAATCGTTAAAGCACGCATATTTAGCAATTTGGGCAGATAAAATTCAGAATGCAACGGCGGCAATAAATTGTAGTGCAGCCGTTCAAGGGGCGCGCGCGTATCTTCTGACTGAAGCATAGCACATTTAGGAAAAGTTATTTTCACGTATTAAGTATTGCTGATTCATATGAAAGCGGAGATTTTTCAGAACCGCCACCTGTCTTCAACGGACTAATGCCAAGCAATCTACTTTATGCAGAATTTGTCAACTTCATTACTTGAGTCTGATCTGTCTCCCGACTACACCGTTCGCTCACGACACTGTAAACAAAAGATCCATAACGATATAAATAATTCAGTATCAAGATTGCGAGACAAGTTCCTTCGGTGGTTTTTTGGACCTATCAAACAACCGATTAGAATATCGTTCACAGAGCAGTGAAGATATTTTAATCACCGGCAATGAAGCGCTCATCTAAGTGTGAAGCCACTTAAGTGAGTGTACCCCAGTAGGAACAGTGCGACGGGTCTCTGGATATCCTGAGAAGAATTGAACATAAAATACTAATTGAAACCAACCCAAAAATGGTTTTAGCGACGTTATTACGTATGAAGCTTTTGTTCTCAAAAATGTCACTTATGTTGGTAACTAGTCATTGTTTTGACGTTAGTGTGATATTCAAATGAGTAACACAAAACGAAATGTGAAACTGTTAGTATCCGCCGAATCAATTACAATATATATATATATATACTAAGCAACAAAAATCATAATTGCAGCTTAGGGAGTCCATTTTGAAACAAACAAGGCCCGAAGAGTCATTGCGGTAATTCTGTGTTGTGTTTTGGGTTAGATTCATCTAACCCCACGCATACCTGATGAGTAGCAAGGACCAGGAAACCGGTATTGTGCTTCTCGGAAATTTTTCTAGTCTCACTCATCTTCTACTCATCATATATGTGCATGTATATATATTGTTTTCAATTAGTTAGATTCTGTATCGAAAGGAAAGCGTCCATAGCATGGTAAAATAGCAATTTTAGTCACTGTATTGGGACGTCGGTCCGGTATTTTAATCCCAGTGCGATTACCTAGATTTCCTACTTCAATAAATCCCATGGAAGCTCCGTGATTGGCCATTTCACCTTTACTGAAAAGTATGTGTACAATGATGTGTTCGATAAATGTGGGGAAATACACTGTTTTTATTAAAATGATTTTTATTGTTACCAATTTCCGTCTACGACTCAAGGTAAATTGGTGTTTTGCTACTCAAAACGGCATTCTATCAAAGCTTACACATAAGACCAACAAGTGTTCTCTCCCTGTATAACAGTTCACGATGTCAAACCAGTAAAGTAAAAGAAACGAGCCAAATTGCCACTAAATTCATTCTTATTATGATGAAATAAAATGAAAAATACAATTTCACAGAATAGCAAACAAGCTCGCCTTCAGTGATTGGTGATCATGCTAGTATACAACACAGCCTATGTCAGTAATTAAAGACGAAATTGTCTTAGAGAAGGGAAAAATCGTATAATAGATTACTAGGATTGATTTCGTCCTTAGACCGGATTTGAGATTCGCGATGATCACATAGTTGTTTGTACACCTATCCGATCCTCGAGATTACGGGAGCCTTGGCCCGTATGGGAGTAGATCAGGGACGCTTAGGCGTTAGCACAAATTGTTTCTCTGGATACAGGAAGGGCCGCGGTGCAGACGAATTCTCACCTCATTTGCAGTGGATAGCATCCGGTAGCGAACCTGCCTCGTTAATTGACCGCGAACTATATAAAATAGATGGCACGCCTTGGTCACGTTCACAAGGTGATTTTGCGGCTAGATGTGAAACCACTGCATTGGTGTGTTATTTAACCATTCAGGTGTTCAAACACACAGCGTGGAATTCCCGATACTGTTGGGATAGTCTCCTGATCGTGCGGTTCATTTACGTTGTACCAAAGCAACAAGTCAGTGAGCATAAACCGAGTGAGACCGCAGAGTTGGGACCTTTTTCCTTCAATCACAAACAAACCATTGTCATGAACAGGAACAAAAATCGAAGCTTTGTGGCACATCGGTTGTGTTGTGTAATCTACCTTGTATGATCTCAACGGATGTGTATGGGTGTGTGGGGTACCCGGTAGGAGTAGCATCTCTCACTCGGAGAGCTATCGGCTCTTTTGGGGCATCCCCCGTTCGTTGGTCTCTACCGGGTGCTCAGTACTCCCCTGTGGTTCCCAGAAGCTGTTTGGATGCAACAGCGGCCACACCCCGGTAAATCGCTTGAGAGTTGGACCAAACCAGGACGAGGGTAACTGGGAGCTCAACTCAGCTCAACTCGGTGTCTAACGTACCTGTTGTACGAACGAAGTTGGCTTCACGACTCAACGGCCGAGGCAATGACTCCGTAATCACCATGGCTGCATGGACCCCTGTTCAGCTAGCTACTGCCAATGACTCATGAGCTCCCATCAGAGGGCCACCGGCAACCATTTACTATCTTCCTGCTGCCTTGCAGTTAGCACTTGGATGTGCAAAGGCTAGAGGCGCTACCTCGACCCAAAGTCGGGTGACGCTGAGGACGTTTCCTGAACCTGATTCCCGAGAAACTTCATGGATATTCACTCTACCTGTTTTGCTAATCGTGTTACCGCGGACCCGGGAAGCGATGCACCCTGTGCTCCTCCAGTGGACTGGGTGACAAGTATGCGCAATGGACACCTTAAACTGCACAAAACTTCTTACATTGAATGCTGGAACGTAAGAACACCCTTAGATGCCGTGAGTCATTCACTAAGGGTTCGTGCGCTGCATGACTACCAGCGGGATATTGCATACCTATCGAAAGTCAGATTGGAGGGCTCCGGTTCCAAAAGTATCAAAATGCCCTAGCATCGATAGCCGATACTGGCTGTATCACAGCGGCAAATAAACGTCGGGTCAACACGGAGTGGCACTGACTTTAAATGATCGGGCTAATAGTGTCTTTATCTCTCAGAAACCAATATACTCTAGGATTGCAGTAGCACGATTCAAGGGTCATCCAGTAAACCTCATTGTAATCGCTATCTATGTCCCGACTCTCCCATCTGACAACAACGTCAAGGATTGTTCTATGACAGTTCTATGACAGCCTTCAATTGCTTGGTAATGAAGTACCCAAACGCGATGTATTTGTAATATCAGGGGACTAGAACACTCGAACTGGCCCACAAGAAGAGGCCACGAAGCACATCCTAGGGAGGTTTGGCCTGGGCCAGCTCTGCGAGAATGGTGATAGACTACTCAGCTTCGTCGATCGTAATCAATTTTGTATTACCAACACGTAGTTTCAACATCCAAAAGCATCTTCTGACGTGGTACTCCAACGACAGCCGAACAGCATATCAAATAGATTAGGTTCTCATCTGTTCACGATAGGTTTCTTCGATTGAAGACTGTCGATCCTATCGCGGGTTAAATGCGGGAACAAAAGCGGATCTGATTACGTACCAGTTCGCGCTAAAGTTAGACTCCATCTAACAACTCGCAGGAAGACCGTCCCCTCAAAATGCCCAAGTGTGCTCCCACTGGAGAACAGCGAGAAATGCCAGACACTGATGGACGTGATAACTACACAGCTGTCAAACCATCTTCTCGGTTCGCAAGGGAGTTCGGTTGAAACACAGTGGACCAGGATGAAGTTATCGCTACAACATGCCGCTCTACACGCACTAGGCACTGGATCACTTCGTCTGAACGACTGGATATTCGACCACACCATCCAGGTTGCTAGTGCGGCCAGAGAGGCAGGCCTAGCTAAATCCTCCGCTTATCACGATCTCAGACGACAAGCAACACGATCAGCCAGAAACGATAGATACAACTACTGGAATGAAATGGCTAAAGAAATTGAGACAGTAGCCAACCTGGGGAACACGGTAACCCTCTTCTGACTTATTCGATCAACATCGGGCAAGAAACGGGTCATCCAGTCTGTGTTGCGCAGCGTCTCCGGCCAGCTCATTTCTGATGCGCAAGGAAAAATGTCTCAATGGGTCGAACACTAGTCCTACTTAATCCAACTCTCATTTGCGCCCTCCTCGCCATCTTCTCCATACGAAGCTAAATGCGCTCCGCCATCACTAGAAGAAGTCTCAGATATCATCAGCCATCTCAAGCCACGGAAATCTCCAGTGAGGACGGGATACCCGCCGCAATCTACGCAAAGTGTGCTTCAGCCATTTAAACCCTCTTTCATAGCTTATTGTTTGCAATCTGGGAAAACGAAATTTTCCCGACTGACTGGATCACATCGATTTTACTACCTTTTATTAAAAAGGATGAAAAATCAGTGTGCGAAAACTACAGAGGCATCAGTGTACTTGACTTGGTGGACAAGGTTTTTGCACAACTTTTGCTGAACCGCTTTACTGCAACAAGGCACGCACACACTCGTCCTAACTAGATGGGATTCCGCCGCGGTGTGGGCTGCGTCGACCAAATATTCTTTCTACGTCGACTCTTGGAACATCGCCACAGGTTTCAACAACCCACAACAGTCTGCTTCATTGATTTTCTTGCGGCGTTCGACTCCGTAAATCGCGAATCTCACTGAAACAGTTCTGGCTGATGGTATTTCAGTTGAACTTGTCAACTTAAGGAGATCCTACTATTTTTACACTAGCGTCCGAATCCGCATCTACGGAGGGAAGACATACGTTTTCATTAGGATCTGGAGTTCGACAGGAGTGCCCATTGTCCCTAATGCTGTTCAACTTCGCCGTTGATTGTTTAATGGACTTTCGATTGAAGGATACCAGGGAGTTCAGATCTCTCCGAACTTATGACTCACCAACTTAGAATTCGTGGATGATACGTCGTCTTTGGCGAGGACATGTCCAACCTCCAAGTACTCATTGACCGCAGGCCTCCGAGGTCGGCCTAAAGATGAACACATCAAAAACCAAAACCTTTTCGACAGTCCCGATTCGTCCCGAAAATTCTTTACTACTAAACGGTTATGTAATCAAATTCGTCGAAAGCTTCA